AACGTTGTCATTGTTTAATTAGGTTATTAATTAAAGAAAAGTATCATGGACTTATTTGCTACTGTATCACGTTTACCATTTTCTGTTCTTGGACCACATCGTAGTGATACATGTACGGTCGATCGTTTAAATTATAAATATACAGTTATTATCTTAGTCATTTTTTCAATAATCGTTTCCAATAAACAATTTTCATCAGATCATATTGCGTGTTGGGTACCGGGACATTTTACACGTTCATACGAAGTTTATTCAAATAATATATGTTGGGTATCCAATACATATTATGTTGCAACTGCTGAAACTTTACCTTTAGACGAAAATAAGAAAAAAACTCGTGTTGTTAAAGTAATTAAAAAAAGAAACACAAAATCCGATTAGATTTTTCTATGTTTTAATTATAACTTTTTTTCTTTTGTATATTTCTAGTATTACCAGTGGACCCCATTTATTTTACTTTTTCAAGCTGTTTTATTCTATTTGCCACGAATGTTGTGGCGTTCTTTATCAGCTAAATCAGGTATTAATATTGTTAATTTAGTCGATGCAGCATTAAATTATCAAACAGCTGATCGTTTTGAAGATCGTAATAAAATCATGACTTATTTAACACGTTCAATAGATCAATATGTTTATATGCGTAAACGAAAACATAAACGTTTTGATTTTATACGTCGTTTTCTAGCATTTATTCTATGTGTACCTGGACGTCGTATGGGTTCATATTTGTTAATACTTTTTTTTGTCACCAAAATTTTATTTATTGTCAATTCTGTTGGACAATTATTTTTGTTAAATATCTTTTTGGGTCATAATTTTGCATCCTATGGACTTGATTTAATAAGAAAAATTTTAAATGGAGAAGAACTTAATGAATCAATTTATTTTCCTCGTGTAACTATGTGTGAATTTGCTGTAAGAAATATACAAAATGTTCATGTTCATACCGTACAGGTAAGATAAAAGAAAAAGAAAATCAAAAGAATATATTTTTTGTTATATTAGTGTGTACTACCGATCAATTTATTTAATGAAAAAGCATTTTTATTTATTTGGTTTTGGCTTGCTTTTTTAACTATGTGTAATACCTATGATTTATTAGCATGGTTTGTACGTTCATTTGGTCGTGTACGTTATGCTTATATTAAAAAACGTCTGGAATTAATGCAAAGTGATACACATTTACGACGAACGCCAGCAAAAGAATTTATTCATCGTTATTTACAACATGACGGTGTACTTATACTAAGACTTCTTGCTTATAATTCAAGTGATTTAGTTGTCACTGAATTAATACAACAATTATGGCAATTTTATAAACGTGTTGGAGGTGGTGGTGGAACCGGTGGACCTGCTTCGACGACTGGATCAGCTGTTTCATCTGCAATTATTCCGTCATCATCTAGAACAGGTCCAGCTGGTGGAAGACAGGTGAGTGTACGCCTGTTTGACACTGGTGGTATCGGTGCTGGCCGAGATGATATGTGAATGAGTGAACGTACTTTGTATTTTGTACAGTCTCATCTTTGATTCTTTGTTTTTTTTTTCGTTCTTCCGTTTTTGTCACGCATATGCATGATAATGAGCTTTCATGAACGAAAGAAAACGATAATAAAAAAAAAAGAGACAGATATTATAGAAAACAGTGTAAAGTACATAAGACTTTTCCATGTTCAATTTTCATTTGTTTTGTTGCAAAAAGAATAATTTACACGGATCATTTCAATATTGTAACAAGACTCAGAATCACATTTATAACTTTTAAAAAATTTTGACAGAACTCTACTATTATATACAGATTCATAAATATCTATTAATGGAAGCCAGATGTGCATTTGTATGTGTCATATCAGTTATGTCCACCATTATTCATTTCCTTTATTTCTGCTAATCTGTCCATCTGTAATATATATGCATAATTGTGTATATTGTCAAATCCGTACTAATGATTATACATAGGATTTTATTTATATGAAACAATCAAACGAACACTTTCTTTGTCCAATTCTGTCAACACTTCATCACTCTTCAAATAGTCAGGAAACGATCAAACAAATCAATGTTTGTCTATATGAGGTTTGTTACAAATAGTTTATTCTTCTAGTTTTTTTTAGCAGAAATGTCGTCTATAACGATGTGGCTGATAAACTTCCATTTATCCTTGCCGTTTTTTTTTCTTTGTCTCTCAATGTCAAACAGATGTTATTCTCATTGTTTTCTCCCTTTGATTAGTACTATACACTAAACGATATATACGTGTTTTCCATTAGAAAGTGATTTGTTACGCATGACTTTTCTGCTGTTGTCTTTTTCGAAAATGATAGGATTTCCATTAGTCAATTAACGATAGAAGATATCTCATTTGTAAATTGTATCTTTCAGTTTTCTTTTGTGCTTGGTCAAACACTAAATGACATTCTATCCGATAATTTCTCGTTATGTCCTATTAGACACAACCTTTGATGTTATCATCTCATTATAGAGAATCAATTTATTGCATAGACAAACTCATTTGGTCGAGTCTTACCAATATGACTGGTAGACAATTATCAAATATGCTAATGCTCTTTTTTTTCATTTTTATGACGACAAAGTCGATCTTTGGATATTTTTCTTTCGTCATTTTGTAATATTATATTGTTTGATTGTTATACATTCTTTAGAGAGTTATTTAATTGTCAGATAAAAGAACATATTTTTTCCTGCTGTGCATCAGCCATGACATATCAACATATAACTATGGATTCACTCAAACCAACAAATAAGTGATGCTCAGTTGGTGTTTGTTTTTTCTTTCAAACACTTATTGAGATGACAATCAAACAATAGATCGATGGTTCCAACGAACTTCTAAGATGAATGCATCACCAAAACTAGGCAAAAAACAAATAACAATATGCAAATAACAATCGAGATAGAAAACACAAAAAAAAAAAAGGAAATTGATTATAGTATGTTTTTTATCATTATAATAGAAAAAGACAGGTGACAAATAATTGTTGATCAATCTATTTTAATATTAATGATCTATCTTTCTTTTTTGAAAAATTTTTAAATTAAAAATTTCCATTATTTCTATATAATACTATTAAATAATTTACTTGATATAAAAATGAGCATGTTTGATTCTATCTATCAGTAGAGGAACTTAATTATCTATGCTCTAAAACCCCCATCAAATAAGATATTGGTCATGTTTGTGGTTTTCCTCTGCTAGATAGATATCTGTGGTTTGATGAATCTGATAAGAAGAAAAAAAATGCAAGAATACTCTATACTACCACGTAAATTCCTTTAACTTAACAGTAAAGTCCAATTCACAACTTGCTGACATCAAATTATTGGTACGTATACAATATTGATTGTATTATTTTGATTGAAATTTAAACAAATATATAAAGCAAATCTGTTCAAGATAATAATGAATATGAAATATAGAATTGACTAAAGATCTATTTCTTATTTTACAATGAATAGATTCGATACTTAAAAATAAATGACATTAGAGAAAATCAATTTCAAGAATTCTGTTTTGTACAACCATATATACATAGATATAAATAATATTATATACAGTATTCTGATTAAAAATTGATAGATGTTTGACTTCTATGATCATATTCTCTTTAATGCATTGAGTTATGTTTGAAATATTTGAAAATCAAAACAAAGTTCAAAAGATATTTTTTTCATAATGATCATTAAATTTTTAGTTTTTCTCAAACCATAGCTTTATATGAAGGTCATGATAATTCATTAAATATTTTCTTTTTAATTGTATTCTTATTTTTTATTCTATATGTCAATAGACTAATTCTGGAATATAGTTCTAATACATCTTAATTAACGAGATGATTAAATTTGTAAACAATGAATCATACAGAATAAAATTGCTTGATGTCTTTTTAGGTATTCACAACTATGACAAAAAAAATATAAAAGTTTTATAATAGTACGACATATTTTAATTCCATTAATTTATTTAAAAACCAACTTCTGAATTCAATGACGAAATTCAATAATAAAAACCTTGAAAAACCAATTTTTTTTATATTTAGTATTCAACTTAATTAACCTAGTTTTGAAAACAATCGACTTGTAAAAAACCTAAAAAAATTGCATTTGAAATTATAAAAAAAACTTTACAATCAAAAGTCTTAATTAAGGATACTTAGTATTAATATTTCATTCTTTATAAGATAACTGTCATTCATTCATCGAAATATCTTCTATCAGTTAAGCATATGTGTATATATATTTAATAGCGTATATGTATACTGTAAATGTTTGGTTTTTTTGTCAACAAGTTTATGCATTTGATAGGAAATGTTGATGACTTTTCCGTCTATTCTGTTCTTTCTAGCTTTTCATCAGTAGTAACTACGACAATTATCGGATTGCTTAGCATTTGGACTAGCATATAGGAAATATGCGAATGCGACAACGTTATTATATAGCATATTATTAACAAGAGTTAGCTAGCCGTAACCTTTGTTAACCAATGCAAGATGTAACTGAAACCAATTGTTGTTACTAACTTTGATTTTACTATTGCTATTGAAAAGCATACTTTTTCTTGTCTGTTTTTTTTGTTATTCTACTATAGAGAAAAATTGATTCGGGATCGTATTGTTCTTTTTTGAAGCAAACAAAAAAATAACTATAATTATGTAAAATATTAATATTATGGGATTTATCGATTGTTTGTATATGCGACCGAAAGAAGTTAATTTTTTTTTTGTGTAAAGAAAAAAAAAGAACAAGGCACACGATTCTGAGCTTTTTAGAGCGGAAATGCTCTATGCAGAAAGTGTGCACTCACGAAAACAACGGCTAGGAAAAAAAAAGTGATTCTTCGAATGTGAACAAAGAAAAGAAGAAAATTAAAAAAAAAAGACCTGGTTTTATACAGCAGTCAAATAAGAAGTATTTATGATTATAATTGCTATTGTTTAGTTTTATTGTTCACAATACAACATATGTCACTTTAGATTGCACTAATGAATGTTGTAAGATCGGCAGGTGGACGTCACAATAGTGACAGTTACAAAGCTGAGAATGGTAAGAGATAATTTTAAAATAATCTTATTATCATAATTCTTTCGATATCTCCTGAGATGTGCTTCTTCCGTTTCTTTTTTTCTTGTTGATCACAGACACACATACACATTCATATAATAGGACTCAATCTTTTTCTTATTCCTAAACAGATACATATATATATCTATATATACATGTATGTATAAACATTGATCAAGAAAAATACAGATGTGGCAAGCAGTCGAGACATCTATCCAAACATTTAATAAAAATCGTCTACTCAATCTGGGTTCGAAAAGTAGCGCAAGTAAAAGAAAATTTTTGCATATCTTTTTTTCTATTGAAAAAAAAATTAAAACACAAAAAGCTCAAATATATATAAATATATATACATATCAATGATTATTTATAGAAAATGCGACGTCAACTCATCCAATATCACGGCCAACTTGTTCAATAACGGAATTAATGAAAAAAACTAATTTTTCAAAAGAAGAAATTCGTCATCTATATCGAACATTTAAACAAGTAAATTTCTTTGATTAAATTTACTAAATTTTTCTTTTAAATTAAACTAGGATAGTCCATCAGGACAAGTAACCAAAGAACAGTTTGCTTCAATATTTTCAACACTATTTCCAACTGGTGGTATGTTCTGTTTTTTTTTTTATTATTATCTGAGAAAAAATAATAGATCTTTTGATTATTTTAGAATGTTATCGTTATGCGATATTTCTTTTTCAAAATATTGATCGATCAAATACGAATATAATTCGATTCGAAGATCTTGTTACAACATTTTCTTTACTTGTTCATGGTTCCATTGAAGCTCGTCTTGGTTGGATTTTTGATTTATATGATATAAATAAAGATGGAATAATAACAAGAACGGTTTACATAAAAAAAAATCATTTTATTTTGACTTTGTTTTGAAACTATCTATTGTTTTCTATTAGGAATTATTTCAATTGGTTGCATCAATATTTCAACTTATAATGCCTGTTGGTAAACTTAATTATGCACCAATTATGAATGCTATCCAAGAACGAACTGATGAATTAGTTGATGTATGTAGAATAAAGATTTTAACTGAGGTTTTTCTTTTGAAACTTATATTAAATATATCAGGCTTGGGATATTCATGGAAATGGTCTTGTACATAAAGAAGATTTTCTTCAATATTGTTTACAGGTTTGTTTATTTATGAAATCAGTTTTTTTTTGTAGATAAATAGGAAAATTAAAAGTAATATGAAAGTTCGTTTCAATTACTAGTCAGTCAATTATTTTGTATATGGGAAGTACAATAGGAAAACGTTGCCTGTGACATGTTGACATTGTTCTTAGTACAGAAGAAAAGACCTACAATCATGCAATATATGTTGCTTCCAGGAAATAGCATTTTGTCCAATCAAGGGATTGTTAGGAATTAGTTTTGGATTACATACATGTCCATTTAAATGTCAAGATAAGTTTCTATTGTTTTCTCTAAGAAAAATAAAGATCTAGAAGAACTTTAAAAATAATTAGTTAATTTCATCTCCTCATTTATCAGTAAATAAGATTTAAAAAAGGACCAGAAGTAGAAGAAGTCAATCTTTATACTGATCACTACTTGTCGTATTGAAAATCGCAAGGGAACAATTAATGTCCACTTGTGACCTTGTATGGTAAATCAATTCAGACATTAATTACATATATGACAAAACATTCTGTATCATTTGAATTTAACAAGATAGTAGTGGATAAATGTTCCTATTGACTCGAATCTCGCCCGAATACAAGCCGTGGAAATCAGAAAAGGACGAGGGTGCATAATACCACAAATCGGGTCATTATTTAGAGTATTAAAATTGATGGTTGGTTCAATGCAAAATTTTACACTAGGTTTGTCATTTAGTAGTAATCTCAAATTGATTCGATTATGTCTAGGTCAATAAAGGTTAGAAATACTAAACTTAGTTCGTCATCGACGAAAGTCTCATCGATATCGTGATATAACTTGCTAATAACTTTGTACAATCACATTGCTTTCATTCCAAAATGGATCTCATTAGAGAAAGCATACTATTCTGCAACAATTCCAATAAGAAAAAAAAATCTAGTAAAATAACTCATCAGTGTCTTTGATTTGTGGCTGTATTGTCACTCAGCGTTATATTAGCTGATGATTCGGTACTGCACATTGGCTTCTCCAATGATGGAAATCTATAATGTTCTATTGAAGTAACTCTTTATGAACTATTCGACAGCACTTTTCAAACTCAACGGATTCTGGCTATTAGAAATATCTCAAGTGCATTATTTATTAGATATGAGTTTGTACTTTTTTGACATGTATTTAATAGATTTTTTTGTCAAAAAGTTATTATTGCAGACAAAACTGATAACAAATATGAAATCAGCATCAAAACTGAGTCGATTTATATTTATTTCAAAATCTTTTGTGAACCTGGTTTTTTTCATTGAAAAATTCAATCAGGGTCCAATCAAAAACTAATTCTAGTGTAATATTATTCGAAAGCCGAATTTGAAGTCAAATTTTGTGACATATTATTAGAATCTAAAATGACAAATTATTAAATAGTAAAACAAGTAGAATTCATTCTTTGACTGGACCTCGATCGAACTCTTCGACGAAAAGAAATCTTCGCAGAAGTGTTTAAAATGGATATAAGTCGACCTAGGTTTTTTTATGTTAATTTCAAATTTGTTATTAGTTTTGACTCTAATAGTAGCTTTCTGACTAAAAACATATTAACTCAATGCCAAAAATATACCAAATCATGTCTACTTGATAAGGTGTTTGAGAATTCTCTAAACTCCCACCCAGTTTAGAAATTCCTAGGGTCTTCTAATTTGTCCATTATCCGAAAGTTTCGAAGGGGGCTTCTATTATGTCCTAAAATTTTCAATAGTTTTGGATGGCAAATGATTTCAAAAGGACTTGAAGGATCTTTAGGATTTTTAAGAGTTGTTCCAACAACTTTCTAGAAGATTTCAAGATTTTTATGCTGATTAGTAAAGAAATCAAACATATTCTCACCTAAAGATCGCGAATTTTGAGAGTTTTTCGATGAAAATATTAACAAAAATTTTCAAAAAGTTTTTAAAATCAGGGAGGCTTCTAATACACCTTTTACATTGTCACCTCTGAAGGAGGCTTTTAATAAGGGAGGAGGTTTAGTAGAAAGTATCCGTTGCGTTTGAAAAGTACTGTTGGGTAGTTTATAAAGAGTTACTTCAATAGAACCTTATGGATCTCCATCGCTTGAGATGTCAATGAGCAATTCTGAATAGTCAGCTAACATAACGCTGATCGGCAATACAGTAATAAATCAAAGACACTGCTGAGTTATTTTACTAGATTTTTTTTCTCTGATTGAAATTGTTGTAGAATAGTATGCTTTATCTAATGAGATCCATTTTGGAATGAAATCAATGTGGTTGTACAAAGTTATTAGCAAGTTATCTCATGATATCGATGAGACTTTTGTCGATGACAAACTAAGATTAGTATTTCTGACCTTTATTACGCTAGACATTATCGAATCGATCTAAAATTACTATCAAACAACTCAGCAAGGAATTCTGCATTTAATAATATATAAATATTAATAATCCAAGTAATTGACAGATTTACAGTCTTATGCGCTCCCGTCCTTTCTCGGTACATGGCTACGTAAGGCATACCAAAAGTCTTTACGAAGCTATATCAATTTCTTATACAATGCTTAAAGAAATTTTCTTTTTTGATGTAGTCATAGAGAAAACGACGCTCTATTTTTCTATGCTATTTGATCTATCTTCAACTAATATCATCATAATAAAATTTCGATAAGAACTGTTTTTGTGTAAAACTTAACTAGCGGATGAGACAAATAAATACGCTTTGCATTTCAATTTTCAATCACTCAGTACGTTATATTAAAAAACAAAATATACCACAAGATGCAGCGTGAGAAGCTTTACAACTTATAAAGAACAGTTTATTTTATGTATGAAATAAGAAAATGGAATTTCTCTTCGCATAATTTTTTTCTGGGCGGTAAAAATTGGTTGCACAAAATTTTGGTTTCTTTGACGAGAAATACACAATTAAAATAAGCTTTACTTTGTAGATTGTAGAGCTTTTCATGTTGCATCTTGCGATGTATGTTGTTTTTTTTGAATAAAAGATATCAGGTGAACAAAAAGATGGAATAAGAAAAAATGAATTCATCTTCTACCAAAAAATATAATTTTCGTATAATCGAAAATTGATCGCTTAAAATTTTGTTTATTTTCAAAGACAAAAAGTTCAACTATAAAATAAGCAGTCCTGTGTAAATCGTAGAACTTTTCACGCTGCATCTTGTGGTATATTTTGTTTTTTAATACAATGTATTAAGTGATTGAAAACAATTGATCTGCCGCATCCATTAGTTAAGTTTTACACAAGAACAGTTCTTATCGAAATTTTATTATGATGATATTTGTTGAAGATCGATCAAATAGCATAGAAAAATAGAGCATTTTTTTCTGTATCACTACATAAAAAAAGAAAATTTCTTCAAGCATTCTATAAGAAATTGATATAGCTCCGTAAAGACTTCTGGTATGCCTTAAGTACATTAAAGATTTGAGCCAGAAATTTGAGGTTTCTCCGATTGTTTTGATATAATGAGAATTGTGTTAGAAAGTAATTAGCTTTGCTATAAGCTATTTAATCTGAAAAAATGTGTCTATTAAATTTCACATTGCTTGTTATGAAATATATGATTAATGATGAATATTTTCATATACAACCGAAGCTGAGTATAAAAAACGATCCAATCATTTGCGACAAGATGATCATTTCTGAATACTCAGAACTAGAACGATAATTATTTGTATGAGATTTATATTTAGTAGAACATTTTCTCGTGAGAGTTGTAGACAATAATATTGCAATACAGGCAACACTACTGTAAATATCTTAGCTTAATTCGTTAAATTATTACTGAGTAATTCACTTCAACGAGCGAAAGACAGTTGTTTCCTTTTCTTGAATATTCATAAAAATAATGACCGGAAATCTGGAAAGAATTGATAAATGTCGAGTAAAATTAATAAGTTAGATGTCTAGAAAGAACTAGAAAAAAAATGAAGAATCAACTGATCTTCATAGCGTTTCGTTTTTTTAGAATTATGAAGATTAAAGAATAATAGATGTCTTTTATTCGATTCTTCATAATTCTCATTATACTCAAGCAGTTACGATGAACTTATGTTTTGGTGAAGAATATGTCGACACACTTTCAATGTGTGTGATAGCCAGGACTCAGATGAGGAGAAACTTTTGTCGATTACTCTACATAACCTACACTTTATACTTATAAAAAAAAATAAGATGAACATCAGAAAAAAAAGATACAAAGATTTTTGAGAAATTATCCAATAAATAACTTACCATGCTTTAGTCAACTCTTTAATTTATACTTAGTTCGAAGATTCTTAACGGCCCAACCCCTTCTCTTTCCAAAGTTTATATAGAACGACTAATCAGAAAATTTTGAAATTTTCTGAGACGGTTGATCTTGACCATCAGAACAAAAATTGTCACAGACGCAAAGTTCCTGAATATTGTCTTCTATGAGATATTGTGATCGCAATGGCCAAAATCGGCTGCCATATTCCCCTATGTTTCTTTGAGTTGCTGCTTTCGATCAAGTTGAATATTTTTTTCTTCTTCGAATAACAAAAAAAACTAAAATATCAAACAAATTCTAAAAACCGTATGTCTTCTTGAATAGAAGTTTTTCCACTAGAACTATAAAAAATCAACAGAACAATGTTTTTTGAAATAAAGAAATAACATACTCATCTCAAACAGTATATAGTATATAGGAAAAACGTTTCCGCTCAATTGGACATACTAGGCCGGATAAACGAAGATATTTTTACACTTGTTTTTTCATGAAAAATTTAAATTGAGCACAACACGAAATAATGCATAATTTTCGTTATTTCGGTTTCATAAAAAGCTTATCTATCATTTATAATTACTCTGGCCAAGATTTTGGGATAGTTTTAATTTTGTGATGTTGTAGAGATTTTTCTTTCTACAAAATTATAGTACATTAGGCGGAAAAGCTATAAACATTATTCGAACAGTTATTCTTCAAATTAGACGGTATTTTTTCAAAGAACAAATCTTCTGTTCTAAATTTGATATTTAGAATGTAATAGATTCAATCGTCTATAGCAATATGTAAAAGAAGAGAAATAAATCAGATATTTTCTGGAGCAATGTATCCGGTATAAACTAGTGTATAAAAAAACTTTCTTATAGTTTGGATTCAAGCAGTTTTGATCAAAATATAAAACTAAATTAGATGCAAAAAAATCTACACAGACGTCCTTTTCTTGTGACTATAAAATGTTTCAAATGAGAAAAAATGTTTAGTTAGACAGCATAGAAACTTCTGAATCTCGTTGATTACTTTTGATTCTCTCCTGTGACTTACGGTCAATGTTGCAGACCTTTCTTGGCTTTCTTTCAAATATTCATTAGGATATTTAATTAAAACTCATCTGACTATCAGTGACAAAATGACTGAAAAATCATATTTTTGATCTAAAATATAGAGTTTAAGGTCAGAAGAAGTTTGCTTTGATATATGTGAATAGCATAAGTGTAGAGGCTTATAATACAAAAAAAATTACCATAAAGGTACAAAATGTTGATATACATCCTGAGTTTTTCTAATATATGCTTGAATAAAATTTAATGATGGGTTGTTACAATCTTCATCGACGTTGTGACTCTGAATCCTTATCTTTAATTTTCTATTTGATAATGTTCCAGACAAGTTCAAGAGCGTTAAAATCAGAATTACTATCTGCCCACTGACATAGTGTAATAGTATCTTATAAGCTAGAGAATGTGATTGATGAAGCTTGTAACAGCCTATCATTAAATGATATTCAAACATTTATTACAAAGACTCAGGATGTATATCAACGTTTTGTACTTTCATATTAAATTTTATTTTGTATTATAAATATCTACACTTGTACTATTCATATATATATAAATATATCAACGAAGACTTCTTCTGACCTTAAACTCTATATTTTAGATCAAAAATACGTTTCTCAATCATTTTGTCGTTGATAGTGGGATAAATCTATAGAAATATATTTTATAAAAATATCATTCGACTATAAGGAATTAAGATTGAAATAATAACGGATTCAATTGTTTGATTTCATACAGAAACATGTATCTATGACTGATACGAGTATACGTTGTTAGAGACCATCTTAGTTATCTTATCTGTCCTATTGTACACAAAAGTAAAGAGTCGAGTATCACTAAAATGTTTAGATAAAATCTTATGTCAATAAAACAAAGTCTTTTCTCTAGAAAATTCTTCTTCGATTAACAATGTTATCAATCTTGATTATTTTTATAATTATCTATTCGATTTAGAATATATACGAATGGAGATTCTGTTTTTTTTTTCTTCTTTTTGCTACATAACCTAAAATAAATCTCTTTCTTTTTCCTTAAAAATAACTAATTTCATATTGTGAAAGATGTAATTTTATTTTTCTGGTTAATAGTTTATTTAAATTAGTTGATATATTTAATAAATTATCCAAACAAGATCTATGGAATCATCTCATCAATTTCAATAGATTTCCATGTGTTTATTGATAGAATTGAATATATTGAAAGTATTTTTTTTAATTTTAGAACGAAACAATTATTCGCTCCGTCGATAAACTTACATCAGGCATATGTTTATAATCATCATTTTATTTTTTCTTTTCTTCTTATGTTCAAAAACAAAAAGAAACCAAATACACACACACAAAAATATTTGTATACACACAAGTGACAATACACATGGTGTTCATAATAATAAAAAAAAAAAAACAAAACAAAACAAAAGGCCAGGCTCCGTTTAGTACGAGATCGTAATTAAAAAGAAAAGAAAAGAAAAGAAGATTTTACTTGTTTATCCCTGAGAGAGAAGCCTAAATAGCATAAAAACTGCATAGGGTATATCTCGATACTTTAGCATGAGTCCTAATTCGAGTAAAATGTGTTTTTTAAAGATAATAAAATCAATATTTATATATATATATATATTAAATATGTAACTCCTTATTTCTTTTATCGAAAAAGAAAAAAAAAAAAAAACACAACAAATATCGTGAATTCGCCAAACATCTGCCTGTTTTGTAGAGTCGTCGATCAATTGGTCAGTCAAAAAAAAACGAAAAAAGAAAGCAAACAACTATTAAAATTTAAAAGAATAATGCAAATTAGCAGAAAAAAAGCCAAAAAGAAAAAAAAATTGAAAAAAATGGCACAACTCTCTGATCGATAGATAGATTAGAAAGAAGGATGTAAAGAGATAGTACGTGTCACTGTTTTCTCCATATGGCCATTGTACCTTTTCTTACGAACACTGTTATTCAAGAGTGACTGAGAGAGAAAAAAAAACAAACGAAATTGATGTTTGAAACAACAAATAAAAAAAACTGTACAAATATCCCTTTAAACAAGCATGAATAAAGAGAACTAGAGAATAATGTCGGACCTGAGTGATAAAAGAAAAAAAAAAACACACACGTGTGTATAATGATTAAATAGTAAATTAATTATTCGATTGTAAACCATTGAGCATTTCGCCAAGTAAACAACCATCAAGAAGTTTTCCATCATGTTTACGATCAATTAATTGTAAAAATTTCTTTAAATCATTTCCAATCAGACGAACATCGGGTAATTTTAATAAAATACATGCAAATTTTTCTTGTTCATTTGTTGGTGCTTGTTGGGGTTGCTGTTGTTGTGATGGAGATCGATTTGTTGAATTTGATATGGATGGATTATTATGATCTGTTGTATATTCACCTAAGGCATTTGTAATTTTTTCTTGGACTTCTTCGATTAAACTCGATTCAGTTACACCTTGAACATCTAAATATAACAAAAAAAAAACCAAAAATCATTTTTCAGCTATTCAACATTGTTCATTCTACAGAAGATATGAATATCTTTTATTTAACTATAGAATAATCCTAGGCCTCTATGATTATATTATTACGAAATCCAGCAATTCAATTTTAATAAAATAAAAATAACGACTTAAGTTTTCATCGACATCCTATGCAACTGAACATATTTTATTACTGAAAAATAATTAAGGCTACACCCAGAGCAACCATTTTGACCGCCGGAAACGTTTATAAAGACGCCATATTACTACATTAACTTTCACTGTAATCCCTGGAGACGTTTTACGGGTCATTATTTCCATTAACAAATGGCCCTTATTTCTTCTATCATTTTCATTTTTTTTATGAAGTTACAAAGAACAACGACGCAATAGTGCTGTTTTCTTGAACTTGAATATTCATCAATGTTCGACTAAAAATTTTTAGGACCAATGATCTAGTGTATAGGATTTTGTTGTGCATTATTCTTAATCTACAATCCCATCTCAAGCATCCTAATGAGAGAAAAAATAAATATTTGAGCTAGAATTTATCTACATATGATGATTTGTTCATTATTATCAAACAAATAGTCATAAGAAAAATAAAGTGAAACTAATCAGTATGGAAACTCGGAAATTTCCCTTGTCATCAATCAGACTTTCGCTAATTGTCACAATAATACCATGAATATAGCATATATGTACGAACAATGTCAAATGTTATGAAAATGTATTGTGATGCTTATACTCCTCAGAGTAGTTAATACAAATCACTTGAAACTATATACTAAAATTTCATACAAATTTGTGAAAATTTAGTAGACCTTCGACTTCCTATTATGGCTACGAGTCGAAACTATTTCTGATGAGGAAAGACTTTCATATGATCAATTTCTTTTAAGCTAGAACTATATTCAATCGGATAGAGCCTAGTGAATAAATAAAAGTCATAGAGTGATTCGAGATACTTGGCTTTTATTACTAGCATAATCTAATCGATGCTTTAATGTAGGCAAAGCTTAGGGCGAAAATTCCAAAATATGAAATCGATTGAAAACTAGAGTCCTACAGAAAAAGTCAGCTAAAAGCTTGAAATTGTAGCAAAAAAATCCAGTAGTTCGGGCCACTTTAGGATATTTACTTACTCATTTGGCTCTATTAATTGAATATAGTCACAGCTTAAAACTAATTTACAACTTGGAACACTTTTTTATGAAAGCAAAACATTTCAGAAAAATTCACAACAAAAAGTTTCGATGAAAATGAACATATCTTTTTCGAGATGTTCAATATCCAAAAAAGCAGCAGTTTACAATATGAATATACAATAATTGAGTCTATTTGGAAATTGAATATCTTGATAAAGATACGTTCATTTTCTATAGACATAAGCGCAGCTCAGAATTATTTGTTGTGAATGTTTTGGAAATTCCTTGCTCTTAGTAAAAATTTCCTTTTAACAGTCATAATTCTTTTTCTGTAGACCATGGAACCAGAATTCTTTTAAGGTTATGTTAATCTCACTGAAATCGACTCTTAGTCATCATATGAAGCTGAATGATGTCGAACAATTAGGTATGTTGCATTGCAAGTAAAATTTCTAGACCTTCAATACATACGTCATGTAAGTTATTTTACTAGCAAAAATTCAAATAATATATCACAGTGTTAGTTTAAAGAGTTCGAATATTCTTCCTACCTGGGTCGAAGAGTACCAGATATTTGAGTGCAAGATATTCTGGATACTAGAATAAAAATAAATATTTTCAGTTTAGATACAAAAAAAAATATTTACGACAAATAATACATACTTGCCACTGTAGTTGACGAAAATCATTGACACATTGTAAATATCTTTCAGCTAATTTTTTAACAGCTGGATTTTGTATTAAATTTATATTTAATAATTGTCCATTAGCCTAATTTAATAATATATATATATATACATGCATACATTAAAAAATAAAATTCAAAATTTTAAGTTAAAACATACGCTAACAATACAATTTAAACAAGTTTCTTTTGGTTGTTGACATTGCTTCCATATAAGATCAATAATTAATATTTCAATCCATGCTGCTTTTAATAATTTTATCTGATTATCAATCTTAAAAGAAAAACAATATATATATATATAACATCGTTAGCAAAACAAAGAAGATTTTTTAACTTACTTGAATATCTTTAAAATATAGGGATTGTCGAGCCTATATATATATATATTTATCAAAAAAAAGATTATATCAAATAAAATTCTTTTATCAAATTTTCAACATACCCAATCAACCATAAGAAAACATAATTTATCTAACAATGAACATACAACTAATATATCACCATCATCACGTGTTAAATCAATATGAATCTGTTGAATATCTTCAATATACCGTACTTCAGTACACTAAAACAAAATTTCATTCTAAAAATTAATACATCAAATATGTTTTTTCTCATACTCGATAAGCTTGATCAGATTCAATAAGTTTTGTTAATGTTTCGGGTATATTATTTGTATCGTTCATATCATAATTTGGTGCTAAATATTGATTATTATAAAAATAAACAGATGATATACCATTATTTGTATCTGTATGCATTGAATCATTTGTAGCCATTGAATGTTGTTGCATAGTTAATGTACTTAATATTGAAGATGTATTTAATGTTGAATTAGTTGTGTTTACTGTTGTTGTTGTTCCTGTTGTTGATGGTGATGATATTTGATAGTCAAGTAATTTTGATGATATTTGACCAACAGGTGATGAACTTGAATTTGATGAACCTGATGGTGGATTACTGTTGCTATTGGATGGTAAAAGTAAAGATGGTGGTGAATGTCCATATGCAGTTGATGATGCTGATGAACTTTTATAATATGTATCGAATGGATTTAATTGAAATGGTTGTTGTAAACGTGTATTATTTGTAATTGAAGAATTTGGATTGAAAAAATCCGGATAAACACCAGGAAATGATGAAGATTTTTGTGGTTGATAATGATGTTGATGATGTGGATGTGTATTTGGATGATGTGAATGTGTTGGATGATTTATATTTGTTGTTGTTTGCAAACTTGTATACATATGTTGAAATGGATGAAGATTTGGTTGTTCAGGTTCAGATTTAACTTGTAAATTATTACCAGTTATATCTAATGATGCTTGTCCATTATCAATACCATTACCATTTGGTATCATATTTTGTTGTGCTTTAACCATACTAACAAAATGTTGTCTCATAATTTGTTGACGTAATGCACGACTACGACGATATAATGGACCAAATTTATTTCTTCCACCTCTTACTCGATTTTCACGAACAGCTTCTAATTTCATACCAACTTGTAAACATTTTTTAAAACGACAAAAAGCACAACGTTTTCGTTGAGTTTTATCTATTTGACATTGTTGCTTATCAATACATTGATAATTTTTCTTATTTTGTACTGTTCGTTTGAAAAATCCTAATTATACAATAGTTATATATATATATATGTAGATGTTTCATCTTTTTCTCAATTTATAAATTTCAATACCTTTACACGATTCACATGTCAAAAGACCATAATGAAATCCACTGACTTTATCACCACATACAGGACATAAATCATTAAAACCGAATTTTACATCGAGTCCAACGTCCGGCGATGGAACGTCCAGGACGCCTGGACCTAAGACAATAAATCAGTAGATAAACAAATAAATAAATTTCTTTTTCTTTCTTTTTTTTAAAGCATATCAACTTAGATTTATTTTGTATAAAACTATCAGTTTTCTAAATCAACATGCATAAATGTACGCATACACCACACACATATATACACGAGGGTTTTCGTATGTGATTATTGAAGATTTATTCTTCTTTTTTTCTTACTTTTCTTCCCCTTTCTTTTCCTCCTGATAATCAAAACTAGTAGTTAATTAAACGGCAGACACATAATGAATCGTTGCTTTTATGACACGCGTTTGTGCATATTCATTCAAAATAAAAGATAGATGAGGTAGAATAACTAAACATCAGTTAAAAGTTGCGTAAATCACTAAAGTCAACAGCTGTGCGCACACATGAATGAATATAAATTTTGTACGAAATAGAAATAAAAAAAAAAAGAATGCTTTTGTTATAAATATAACGACGGTGATGGCGGCGACATGAGAGTTCACACGCACGCCGAGACCGGACGTGGCCGCTTTCGACGCGCGTTTTTTTTTTGACCTTTTTTCTTCTTGTTCTGTGCACCCGCCACTACCACTACCACCACTATTAGTACTACAATAACTACAACTACAACTACTTCCCAACACATCCTCGTACTACGACAAGTCGATGATGAGGAGGGACGTGGGAATAGAAAAAGACGCAACATCGTTACTATTTCTGTTTTATGTCCATATGTAAACGCTCTCTCTCTGTTCGTCGTAAAGACGTAACACGAACGTATACATTATGAACATCCCTTTTTCTCCACCTTCATCCAAACAGTCCTTTAATGATGATGATGATGATTGAAATTCGAGCGAATTGTGCATGGTGGCCTTGCGCAACATCGTTAATCGTTTGGACAAACAAAGCACCGTGCACTTCTCTGTATATATATATAGGTTGCACACGGGCACATACTCGCATTCATTAACGATTTTTACGTTTGATCAAGTCGAGTCAAGTCTCAGTCCGGACCCAAGCTCGGCTAATGACAAGGACATATAGTCACTTAAACGAGAATGTGATCACAAGGACATTATGCTCATCAACAGTCATACGACAGTGTGTATGTGAACACCTGATGATGATAATGATGATATAAAAAGAAAATGACGCAGTTCTTTTTTTTTTTATGACAAAAGTACCAAATAAAAGTGGTAGATATGAAGAGTTTTTACAATAAGAAGAAAGAAGAACTTTAAACTAAAAACTTACCCATCCGGGGGGCGAACTGTGAGGCAGTGATTTTTGGTTGTTGTTATTGGGGTCAAATGTAATGGTTAAAAATCAGCGTGTACTCGCGGTTTTTTCTCCTTTCTTGCTCTCGATTTTCTCGTACTCAGTTAGTGGTCGTTGTCGAAGGATAAATGCTGCGTAACATTTGTGCGCTATGCTCAGCGCATCCAATTTTTCCTCCGTGATAGTGCGGCGTTGCTGATTCTACTCGTCCAACGACACCAACGCAGCATATGTATTGTAGTACGTGTACGTGTGCCGGTTATGATGGTAGTCGACGTTGTCAGTAGTAGAGTGCGTTGCGCGAACGATTTTGCTTATTCTTTTTTTTCTTTCTTCTTTACACCATTGCCGTCGCGCCACTATCGACCGTCTTTTTTCTCTCCTTTTTTTTTCTCTTTTCTCTTTTCTTTTTCTTTCTTTCTCTTTTTCTTTTTTTTTGCGTGTATATATGTGTGTGCAATAATGCCCATGAACTGATGACCATGTACATATTGCAGCAGTTACAGCAGTGCAGATGAGAGAGAAAGAGCGAAAGAACGCAATGCGCACAACTATCACCATTGTTTCGCCGCCTTCTTTTATTTCTTTCTTCTTTCTTTTTTTTTTTCTTTTGCACTCTATCCCTCTCTTTATGTATGTACACGTATATGTTCACCATAAGGCGACGTCGTCGAAAAGAAGAAAAAGATGAGCTACTTGCACATACGCAAGCTAGTAAACGCGCGCGCACTTTGCGTCAACGTCGTCACCGTCAAAAAAGCAATTACAGCTCGCTCAGAAGAAAGAGAAAGCTATTTTCTCGTTTTGCCTGTATATGTATATATATATGTATACATACATATATGCAATGATGTGATAGTTACATCGATGCTTTGCCTTTTGCTACTATTTGCTTGTGAACAAATCAACATTTTGCATTATTTCTTTCTTTTTTTTTTCTTTTTCTTGCTCTTTCTCTTTCTCTCTCTGCCTCTTTCTCTTTATTCATATGTACATATAGAATATATACAAAAAAAGAAACGCGATTGATTCTGTTGCAATCACTAAATGATCAATATTGATATGGTCATGTACAATTTGCTTTCTTGTACAAGTTTTTTTTTTCTTTTTCTCCTTCTTTTTAGTTTTCTTTTATCATGACAATGACCGAAGACATCTAGGTCGTTTCATTTGTTCTTTCTTGTCGTCTGGTTGACCATCAACTAAGCAATATAGACTGTCGCCAATGTGATCGGAAGGCAAAACAATTGATGTAAATTTGATCGGTCAGTCACTATATTGTTTAGTGACCAGACGATTGTTCGTTTGCAATGTGCATAACCTTAATTATGAAGGGCATATACATATATATGGTCAGACATACTCAATAAAATAGTTAAATAAAATGTTCACAACAGACATGTTCATGAATTGCTCGATCGATGGGAAGAGATTAATTGATACAAACTTATCTAACACACGCGCACACACACATGTTTAGGGGCATAGAAGAATAGACAATAACGGATATATGTTGGCATTGACCATCATATAAAGATGATCTCCATTCATACAGTTTACATAATCGCACATACTCGTTACTTAACGAGCTACTAAATCTTACCATTTTTCTCGATAGATTTCTTTTGTCTTGTTTGTTCTGTTGTCGTTGGATCATCAATGCTTAAATGCGTTGAATCATTGTCAACATCATCATTATTATTATCATTTTCATTCTCTTCTTTATCTTCGTCATTTTCATTGTTATTATCATCAACATCAAGAAGATCATCAAGAGATTGAGGTGTTTTCATTATAAGAATATTATTATCAATCGTCATTGGAGAATTTTTATCATCAATAGTTTCTTCAAATTCATTATTGGAATCTGGAGAATCAATTTTTCGTTTAGGCTTTGATCGTAAATAATTCTTTCGTTTTATTTCAAATTCACTCATTTTGTCAAAAATAACATTACCAATGAATAATTATATATCTAAAAAGTAACACGAGACAAGACATAATCTATTGATTTTGACAGAAAATAAATAATTGTACTTACATTAAATATGAAGATGATTATAATAAATTTCAACAATAAAATATTAGATTATGTTCAACCATAAGTCGTATCGATGATTAATACATTTTATATGGTCATTGAAAATGGTCTAAAAGAAGAAGAATTGATCGTCAAGGTCAGTTGAATGCATATATACACGAGGAAGATCGACAATGGTAAAAAAGACCTTGACAAAAGAAAAAGACCTTCGAATAACTGAAATGAATGACAATACAAGGTGATGATAGGCAATATTATAAGATAGTTTTCACCTAAAAGATAATCATCTTTACCTTAAATATGAATAATTAATATAGATTTAGTACTCAAATAAAAAAATATAAATAAACAAAAACGTACTATAAGAAAAATTTTATTGATTGGCTTGAAAATATTTAACCAATAGAATATTAGTTATGGCCCTCTGTCGCTAGTAAGTATAATATATTCTTCTTTTTAAATTTTCATCGAAAAGTATGAATATTTCACAACTTCTTTTTAACAAATCGAAAGGTTACTAATCTTTATGAAAATTCATAACGATGTCATGCACGCATTATGATTGATACAAGCGCGGATGTGTTTTTTTTACTATGGAAAATTCTAGAATTAATGAGAACTATTTAAATAGAAATATTCTGTGATATAATCTGGTAGGAATACTGAACAAATTTAAACATCTTAATGAATTGTTGTCTTACATTACTATGTTTGAAACTTTAAAACTAGTTTTATAGATTCTTGATGCAATCGAGTCATTCAAACTTTAACAGTTTTAATCTTTTAATATAGACACTTTCATATTTATTGTGTGTACTTGATTTCATAAAACCATCTCTATATGTAATAGAGATTGACAATGAAAATTCAAACATTCTTTCTTTTCAAATCAATCTATTACTATAGTATATAAACATTAGCCATCATTCGACAAGTCTTTACGAAATTTTAAAAAACAAAATAAACAATCTCAGTTTAGTATACAATGCAATAATGTATATGATTTAATATAGAAAGTATTTTGCGAATTCAATAGACTATATGTTGAAAATTGGAGTAACCATTACTAGTACATAATAATTTTGCTTGATATGAATTACGTGTCATATAAGTGACATTTTCAAATATGTCAGTACTTTCTAATAACACAGTTTTGTTAGTAGATATAACTATAAGAAATATTTTTATGGTACTGTATCGAACATCTGTTTTCGAAGACAGTACGTCAATCAAAATCAAGATGCAACAATAAGTAATTCTTTTATGGCATTTCTAATGACAACAGATGTATGAAATTTATTATTAGAGAACGAAAAATATTCGCTTAAAATCCCTAGCAAGAAGATACAATAGTTCAATAAATAAAAATGAGTAAAAAGAAAAAGCGAAGACTCAAAATTACACTTAATAAAAAAAAAGTCGAATTCTGAATTTTGTTTCTGTTATGATATAATGTACTCCTTTGATTATTAATGTATATTTGTTGTTATATGTTTAATCAATTATCTCAAATGGACATATGAAGTTGTAAATATCGAAATATGAGATATTTTATTTTCTTAAGAAATGAAAACGAATGTTTGGTTTTGATCAGGGAACTAGAAGAATTATTGGAAAAGAAAAAGAATCAAGTTATGATAGAAAATATTTGCAGATCAATTGAATAATGAGCAAAAAAGAACGGAAATATCACAAAATAATGACGAATTATGTGTAAGATTAATAATTTTTTTTCTTTTTCTTAGTTTTATTGAAATATAGATTGATAATAAAGTATATGTCGATGATTTACGATAAGTAGTATGTATTGATTTGTATGAGTGTTACAACATTATGACTTTGTATTCTGTTTCTAAATATCTTGATTGGATAAAATCTATTGAATTAGTCGAGTTTCATGAATATTCTCAAATTCTGAATATGTTGTTATTGTAATCATTGTCGATCAAATCTTTCTTCAACATTCTATTCTATATTACATAATCGTCAAGATTCTCTTGTTACAAGCATGGAAACAACGAGATTAATTCATCAATTATCTTCCAGCAGAAAAAGTAATCATCCAAGAAATTGAGATACACAAATATCATATGAAAATGTTACTAATATCGATCGATTTTTTTTTTACTAATAACTTTTACAGAATAATATTGATAACTATGTTTTGTTTGTCTTGAACATCTTATTATAATGAAAGAATTGATGTGAAATAGAATAATGTATATTCTATTATGTATAAATTAGTATGTGATATCAACGAAAGATCGAACATCAATGACATGAACGATAAATCAATTAAAAATTAGGAGTCGTGGTTTTATTAGCAGTTATTTAATTTTTGACAGAAAGTCTATCTTTCATACTAGCTTAAGAATAATATTTTTTAAAAAATTTACACAATGGAACTCAAAATATTTTAACCTTTGCTGTTGATAGTTGTATTAAAAACCTATTAGCAAAGTCTTGACTTTGTATACATTGAAAATAATCGGATATATGAAATGTCTAAAATATTAATAGAACAAATTTTTAAAATATTTTAGCAATTTAGTTTTTACTAAAACTGAAAGAGCATTTTACTTATAATGTTTAAAGATATACAAAATGTACTAAAAATTCGCAAAAAAAAAGGAAAACGTGAATAACGGTTCAATAACTCAATCAATTTTCATGGACTTTTCAACATTTTCATAGGATATACTCTAAAGTCTTATTCGACATATTTTATATAAAGTTTCTGCCTCTATTAACATAACAACAATAGCAAAATGACTATTTCTTTAAAGATGTCTTGATAAGCTCTTATGAAACTTGTATGTATCACATTAGATCTACAAAAAATCCACAAAATTCTAGAAGCCAAGGCGCCGATTTTAGCGCCGTATATTTACATCATTCTCTGATGGAAAAAACAGAAAGTGAGATTTCATCAAAGAGATAGTCTTAGATATTTCCAGAAAAAATTTTCAGCCCAATGGGATAAAGTTTAATGAAGGTTGTAGCGAATGAAGATGCGATCCTATAAAAACTAGAACTTCTCAGAAAAAAAACGACAAAAATTCGCTTTGAACGTTTTCTTGTAAACACATGTCTCCTTATTTTTGATGCACTATTTGTGATAAAAATTTCAGATTAATCAGTTATACCGTCTTCGAGAACTAGAAACAGTTGAAAAATGAGGAGATACGCGTAAGAAACGATGACAAAGTTCAATTGTTTAGTGAAAATCTACTGATATCAAGAGTTCAGTTTTTTTGCAAAACTGTGTTCAATACTACCAACAAACGTTTATTAAATTATAATAAAGAATTTTCAAAAATTCTATAAAATGACGCTTCAAAGAATGTTGACAGTTAGGCATAATGTGTTTTGGACAATATCTCTCATAGATAACGGATTGAAAGAAGTAGTCTGATTCGATGAGTTTCATGCTCATCAGGCTTAACCTTAGTTGGTTTTTTCGATGGAAAAATGTGAAAAAGAATATCTACAGAGCTCCTATTAAGAGTATAGGTGAATTGAAAGTGAGAAACAATAACAGTGAAATTAATTTAGCTTAGCAAAAAGAACCCTTGTCTGATGATGATTTCAAACATGTATTGTAGATCAAGCTATTTAAAATAAAAATTTAGAGAATATTCTACGAAATTGTGACAATCCTATCCAAATCGATTGACTCGTTAAAAATTTATTCATCTTTAGGTTTTACATAGAGTTTTGAGATACTATATTAAGGTCACTCATCTTTCATTAACAGAAAAGAGTTTTACTTTTATAACATATTTATTTCAATACATTTACTTGAATAATTATTAAAAAAATCAACACAATACTTCACTCTACAATATATTTAAATAATCCTTTGTAGTCGCTAGGTTTATTATTTTTACTAAACTTGGCATAAATCATAATTTCTCGATTCAGTACAATGATCTCCTGTTGAAAAATATCATTGACAAGACTATATTTTTTCGAAGATAAAATGCAATCAAATGACAAACCAACACAACAAGCATCAGGTAGATAACAATGAATGGTTACTCTAGTGCCTCGTTTCAATTTTTCAATTAACGGTTCAAATATTTGACATTTGTTATCAGTAAATGTACCATAGATGAATGGGAATTTTTTGAATTGTACCATATTAGACATGTTAAGTCCTAATTTAATTGCTTCTGCGTAAGATGATTTAGTCGATCATCGTTGACGAGCATAAATATTCAGTGTGTGATAACCATTGAATCGAGGTCGAAATAAGCACTGCCATAGTTTTCGATCAATATCGTATTGAACTAAACCAGATGTGTTATCATGAGCAATTGAACATAAGAGGCGGACACCATATGGAGCGCGAATCAATACTTCAGCTAGAGCACGATTTGTATTGAATATAACCATGTTTGTATTACGAGGAATTACAATTTCAAGGTTTAGATAAAAAAAGTTGAATATACTTGAGGTAACTCAAGAAATTGTTGCATAGAAATAATAGTTGATAGTAATTGCCATTTGGAATATTCAGGTAAGTGGGTGTAGATCATGTAAGAAAATAATAAGTATTCAATTTTTTCTGATATTGATTGTGTACATCCACATGACCAGCACCCCATGTTGAATCAATCAAATACCAGTGATTATTAAGTCATATCACATTCCATGCATGGTCTGTTCGATTGAATGTTGATTTACCTGGAATATAACCGTAGTCTTTTGCGTAACCACTTACTTTTCTACATTCTAATTGTAAACCACCACAAAGTGCTTTAAAAATAGTACCATATGCATCACAAACACCTTTTTTATTACGAAATATGTCATTCGAAAGTTTAATGTTTTATGTTACCACTAAAGAAAGAATTTACATCATATTCAATATTTTGTGAAATCCAGTAAAAGATAATTCATACAAGATCGATTACGTTCTTCCCCATTGACAAGTTTTTTATCAGAGAAATCACGTCATAAAGTGAAGTTGCTCTCCATGAAATAATGTTTTGTTGATAAGCCATATTGTCGATAGCAGCTTGTCGCTGACGAATAAATTCACAATTGAATGGATGACGATTTATCGAAGGTATATCAGTAGTTACAATAGTGCTTGGGGATGGATCTTTATTAACTACCTGTTTGATTTCATCAGCTTTTTTCTTTTCTCGACGTCGTTTATGATTATGAGAACGTTGAACAATTGTATCAGTTGTTACTAATGGTTGATAAGCTTCAAGCAAAGCTGGTTGTCGAACATCTCCTATAATCGTCTGTGTACTGATATTACGTTTAGATGATAATGATCGTTGATGATTTCCATTATTGGTCTGTGTACTAAATATAATATGATGAGCTGCTTTTTCCCAATTAGGAATGATTCGACAAGTTGATGAAGAAAGGCGTTGAATGATATCAATTGGATACTGTCCATTGTCAATAAGCCTTCTAGTATCAGTAGTAGCACTTCGCTCTTTCGAAAACGAATAACTTGCTATTGAAGTTTTCGGTCTTCCTTGTTCTGTCAGTAGAAATGCAGATACTGAAATGCTTACATTTGCTTTTTGAGCAGTTTTTATTCCTTCAACTGCCATGACGAATAAAAGAGTCTTATGGCTATTATTACAAATAAATTCATTCTTTATATAGCATTTTTTAAAGAACATTTATTTTTTTTCAACTTTTTTCCCAAGAGAAAATTCTTTTGTTTCTATGAACACATTTGATATAAACAATGAGTAACATATTTGTGACTTCACAAAAAGATATTACGTCAGAATATAGCAAATATTTGAAATATATTATTTTTTGCGTATTCTATTGTCAATAAAAATCAGTGTTTATTGTTCTTCGTAGTTGATGAAATTCGAATGACAGCCATACGTAAGTTTTGACTTACTAAGAAGAATTAATCAATCTTAGATGGTAATAGTCGAATCTATCGTTTAGAAGTTGGTGAAACAATGATTCAAATAAAAGTTTGACAACAGCATTATGTAATGTTTTTCACAGACTTCTTATGCTTTTCTTATCAATTCTTCACTTAGCTTCATACTTATTGCTTATTAAATGGAAGCAAGTTTCTTTGATTTTGTGTTCAAGACTCTAGTACATTTTTGAGCCTAGTACTTATATTAGTAGCTCAAAAGACATAACGGGTGGGTAATAATGAACGGCCGCTTGCTTATATCTTATCATTTTGTCACTTACACAATTTATTATAAAATAAAGGATACCACAAGATGCAACGACAAAGTCTCTACCATTTATTCAGAATAGTTTATTACAAATATGCGCCAAAGATGTGTACCGCCTGCGTCTTTATCACATCAGCTCTTAAATGACTTTTCTCTTCGTTGACAACCACCATCACATCCACACAAGCTACCCACAACCATAATCTCAAGTCCAAAACCAGTTTTTAGATCCCTATGATTGTTCAGCCTTTTATTATTTCAATGGAGGATATAGTGCAATATTACTTTTGAACTGTGATGCCTATTCTTCCATGGCAGGTAGCATCAACATATTATCTATTGTTATCGAGATCTTTTTCATAGCTGCAGTGAGTATCGAAACTAGACATACAGATTACTGTTGTTCGCACTCCAGATATTGGAGATTGTTTATGACCAAAAGATATAGTCGAATATGATTTGTTAATTTATCTCAGATTTTCTAATATCTACGCTGTATTAAAGCAAAATTCAAAGGTTCATCGAAAAGCAAACGCTTTCTTTGGGTGTGGATTGTAGATGTGCATGTGAATGTCGATGTTGAAAACTTCTCTTGACCCACATCCATACTGCATCCTTTTTTTTTTAAAAGAGATTTGTGCACCTTTAAAATCTTCTTTATCGTATTAAAAGGAAATACACATTTTTGCCACATCAAAAGCTGCACTGATAAACATTTTTCATATAATTTAATGGAGCGTTCATTATGCTACCGAACTATATGAGATTCGGTATTAAAGGGTATAAGTTGAAAGAATACTCCTATCCTCGAATCAACATCGGAAGTTGATAGATGTAAGCTGGTAGACGTACGACTTTTAGCCTGTTGTCGACGTTAATTGAAACTTGGACCACGGTGAGCAATAAATCAATTTAAAGCTTTTAAGTAAAATAGACTAATTGGTGATCTAGTGAATGATATAGAGTAAGAAATCTTGGTAAAGTAATAGGAATACGATAGTTTAATCGATCGCCAATAAAGTGTCACTCCTCTCACCTATATTCACGATAACTCGGTTAATTGCTCAGATAGATTGTTTCCTATTTTTTTTCGAAGTATAGACGTATGCAAGTTCTGTAACTCATACAGAAATAATCGAAAACTATTTAGTTACAGTCGCTTCACTTATGCTTTTCTGTTGCTATCAATAGTCATCTACAATTACTTCACGTGAAATCATTTGGTACAACGTCCTAATATGTGCGAGTGGAAAGAAAACTTATACTCATCTACGCCCACACCCACACTTCACCACCATTCAACTAAATACAATATTTATATTGTCGTATGGCTATATCGAATAGCACTACACTTCGCTGTACCAGCGTCACAGCTATGTGTTCTAGAAACTGGTTGATCGATAATGTAAGTGTAGTATATAGCAATAGTTTGGCGACGAGTTTGATACTCAATGGAACTTTCAAAAGTGGTCCCTCAGTCGGCTAGCGAACGTTTTCATGCGATGGAGGCTGCAATGCATCCATAGATTCAATGGCTTGTCTAAATGGTTTGTGCTACAACAATGTCTGCCGCAATACTGTCGATCTACAGATTCTTGAACAATCATTCAATACGAGTATCGGTACAACGTATAACAACACTTTCTAAATATTGGAAGGTCACATTAGTGTGACAAAGGGATTTAGATGTATGTTTTTGTTTTTTAATATGGTTTTCAACAGAGTACTCATAAGGTATAGAATCAATGATTGAAAATTTTGATAGACTTTGTCGATGATCATCAAGTGACTGAGATTCAATTCAGAAATAGTCACTTAACTTTTATACAAATAAAGAATGTTTTCTCCGATCGAACTTGTTATTTTCAAACCAAAACACTATGGGTTCATTGACTTCCATGTTTTTTTTCCGCTATATCATCATATAAAATTTTCTCGATGTGATTCGCATTTTTTCGAAAGTGAAAGATCAGTTTTTATGAGGAAACCTTACACAAAATTTCGTGCAAAAGTGCGTCCAGCATTGAAGTCGCTGGATGTAGGGTGAGCATGGAAGTAGCTCCTTCCTTCGTTCATATTCATACCAATAGATGCGCCCTAACTCGCATCCAAAATTATATTGATACATTTGAGAATCTTTTCATCAGATTTAATGAGACTCAGGTTTTCGTCAATTAACAAAATTATAATCGATCTCATATATAGATACGAATCAACAACGAATAAAAATCCTAATCAATTTAATACCTGCCAATCACAATTGATACGAATGAGATTTTATTTGGTTTATTAAGTTATTATTGACTTTCAATTAAAATCTGATTTATACTTCAATAATCAATTACAAGATTCCAGTCGATTTTCATCTGATTATTACTCATACAACGATATTTTCTTGCAAAATTCGATTAATGATCTCATAATCTGAAATAAGCTTGATTTTTACATCATTAGTTGTCATTGAGTTTGACAAAACTGAACAAACCTTGTGGAAACCCTTCGCTAACAGAATAAAATATACAATATAATCTATCGATGATCAGCATATATTGACATGTTAAATTATCATGTCTTGGCTAGATTTGCAACCTGTCAGGGTCAAAAATTCAGATGAACAGATTAAAATAAACACTTCTGTTCTTTCAATCAGAATTGACGTGTTCCGACAGTTCTTTTGAACGGAAATTAACTGTCTCAAAAAATTATGTTTCTATAAATAGAACCAAATTATTGTCTTATTAGGAATATTTTCTGAACAACAGAATAATGATGTCATATTTTTAGATGGTTTTCTTCCAATAGCAAAACAATTTTATTTTGCTTATGGAGAGAAAATTTTTTGAAACAGTTCATCTCCGTTCAAAAGAACTATAGAATTACATCAGTTCCATTCAAAATAACTATTAAGATAGATCCGTTCCTTTCAAAAGAATAATTAACAATTTTCAAAACAAAAACTAATGTTAAATTGTTGTAGATAATGTTTTGTTTCTTTGAATGAGAACATACATTTTCTTATTTGAGTAATTTATACGAAACTAATATCATATGTAAATATCCACAAGAAGTTAAATTAATTTCTTTATTATGAAAAATGACTATGGATTCTAAACTATGAAAAAGATTTTTTTGTATTTTCTTTGTCAGAATTCTTTAAAATGAAATACAAATCTTTCGGAAATATTTATATACTTTCACAAACTTGGTAATAATTGTGAATAATGAAAAGAATAAAAGTTGATTAAAGTAAATGGAACTGTGTACCATTCGAAATTTCTTACAATGAATAAAGATGTTAGCAACTATGAATGATTTCAGTCTTGCGTCATTTTGATACTCATTAAGTTAGATCAATGTTGTTCAATTTCATATTTTCTTTTATATACAATAGCAAAAATGAGTATAAAAAATCTGAGAGATAGATTATCATAGATATAAATGTTAACTTCATATAGAAATAACTCTTTTTTAACATTTAATAATATAAAAAAAAAGATTCATGAAGGATATTTGCTACAATCAAAACAAGCTCGGAAAAGTATATCAATAGCAATTTTTGCGTCCTGTATTCAATAAAATTGCTTTGATCAGTTATAGTGTACGTTCAAAATAATATTCTATTGAACTCATTAATATAAAATTATAATTAAAATGAATCTATTCTATCTATGTTTAATTGAAACGGAAGGAAATCACTTTATCATATAGAATATTACATCCATTAGTTAGAAGGTGTTATAAAGACAATATTAGTGAATTGATCCATGCATATGTATATATATATATAGTTTCATGGAGTATATTTGCTTATAAATATAGCAAAGTAATTATCATGCGTTGTCAATCATGCTAATACTTTATCTTGTCTTCAATTCCGTATGAAATTGCATTATCAATTATTCTTCCATTATATTTTTCTTTTCTCTTTGATAATTAATAAAGGATGCCTAGATATAAAATTTGTTTTTTATTTTTTTTGTTTGTTATAAATGTTTTATTTTGTTTATTTTCTAATAGAATTTAAAATCTTCTGTATTTTTTTGTTATATAGTGTTCGTATTTTTTGAATCATTCTTGTATCAATTTTAAATTAAAATCTTATAAGATAGACATCCATGTTTTTTGTATTCGAATAAAAACTAAGTAGAAAAACTATTGATATTAACGATTGGAAAGAATTATTTAGCATAACTTTCTCAAAATTGAGTTAATTGAACAAAATATGTACGTCCATATTTCCGATCGAACTAACAATGAATCGTTCTCGATCAATTGTCTTTCCGATTTCAAAGATAGTTCTTTCTCATTTTCTCTTATTTGTTAAAAAAAAGAAAACAATACATCTATTCTCTTCTTTTTTTCTTCGTCGCCATCAATGTTTATATCGCCTATCATTT